CCCAATACTGTGAGCACATTTGTGAATGGCATTATCACTCTTCCACACACTATATTAAATATTCATGTGAGAACCTCTCTGCTTTATTCATTACCATTAGTAGGTAGATTTTTTCTTAGAAATCTCACACCTTAGTTTATAGGAGCATCAACTGTTTTATAACTAAAGATGTAACAAGTACTACAAGCTGGTTTCTCATTAATTTGTGAGAATATGCATGTAAGTCTATAGGGAATTTTGTAAAATGGGAGTGAAAGCATGTGAATGGGACACTTATTCTCTATAGGGGTTTATTTTAGGGATTGAAAAAAGAAAAAACTGGACAAGCTATTGCTCAAAACAAATTATCTAGGAAAATACTATATGTTGTGTGTGAATATTTCAGCTCCATCTAGTCTTGTACTAAATGGACTGTGTTTGAACGATAGCATTGAAATATCTCTTAGGAAAGACCTGTATATACTCCATTTAGTGCCCATTTTCAATGTGTGACACCAATCAATTATCATTTCTGTTTCTGAACTAGAAGTGGAAATCACTATAGAAACAGAGGAATTTCTGCTTTTTCTACAAGTTATTCTGTTTCATGTTAAAATCCTACCCTGAAATATGAAGTTTGGAAATTCACTGGTCAGGAGTCGGGAGACTTAGGTTTCTTGGCTTATCTTAAAAACATGCTTAGAATTCATCATGAGAGTTTCCCCTTGCTTGCATAAGACTAGTCTCCATTAAAAGCTTAGAACTAGAAATCAAAAGAACTGGGTTGAAATGCTTTCTCCAGACATATGACTTGGACTTACTTCTTGGCCCTAAAAAAAGGAAATTAAAAATATTACGGCTGCTTGCCATAAGAATCCAGAGAGAGATGGAAAACAACATGAAGTGTGAATTACAGCTCCAGTGAGAATGGCTATTAAGAGGGAGAAGAAAGATGAGCTTGAGAAGGATTTGTCTCTGCTGTTGAGAGGTACTTTGCAGCAGAGTCAAAGCTTTGGTGCTGGATCTGGTTTTCTGGGTTTGAATCCCATGCTTGGCCATATATTGATTGTATGGTCTCGGAAAAGCTTCCCAACCATTCTGGCTATGTTATTGAGCAAAAATGAGAACAGCTCATCTAATTTAGTAACCTCAGGAGCAGAACTGGCTCTTGTGCCAGTTCTTCTGACTTTATGTCCAGCATCTCCTTACTCTAATTTTCCCCAAAAGTCAAATTATTGAGGGCATAGATGATGAGGCTTAGGGTATGCTAGAATTAAACTAAGACATTGCCTCCAAGTCATCTCTATTTCTGTGTTTGAGAAACTATTGAAAAATCCTGAATGCAATAAAAATCTAAGGTGAGACGATTTTTTCTTTTAAATTTAAATTTCCATGACATGCTTTCAGTGCAGGATTTACGGGAATGTTTGTAGTTAATAGTTATGAAGACTTCAAACACATTACAGACAACACTGCCTTTGTTAACATCTTCAACTTACTAAATACACACTTTTGTATCTATGTTTCAACCCCAATTTAGAAATAACTCAAAAACAGGATGCTAGTGTGCCTGGGGTGTGTCTTTAAAGAAACTACAAATAGTATCTTCAGGCCACTCTGGTCATTTGTGAAAACACAGTTATTGTTTGGTGGAAGGAACAAAATGTTTGCCATAGCAACCACAGCAACCCTGGGTATTTCTCCTATTAGCTGTAATGCAGGGAACATCTTCAACAGAAGGGAGAGAGTCCTTGGCAATTATCACCTAGGGAGCAGACCTTCATCCAAAGCGCTTAAGCTGAAGCTCTTGGGTCCAGAACATTCTTAACATGATGTGTTAATGAATGCTAACAACAACTATTCCACTTTGGTTAATTTCAGGAGGATTAATAAGCTAAGGTTTTTTTTTTGTTTGTTTGTTTTTTTTTTTTTCCTGCTGGGCAAAAGGTAGATGTGATTTTCTCTAGACAAATTAGAATGAATCTTTTTAATGATAAATCTTCCTCTATTTTTTGTTTTATTTTGTTTTGGTTTAGGTTTGGGTCCACTTTTTGTGACTTTATTGTTTTTTGAGGGAAAATTCTGTTCACATCACTTTCTCCTTTCCATCCTTAATATAAATTCTTATTATATGATAATTATAACAAATAAGTTAAAAAAAATTAAAGCATGAATAAGAAGTCCAATTTTAGTCAATTGGTACTAAAAAAGAAATGGCTATAGCTTGAGGATTTTTAATTCAAAAATAGTGACAAACACTCAAAGTGGCAAAAGTCCTATATTTTACCATTAAGTCTCAAATTTCTATAGATATGATTTTATTTTTTATTTTTTCTGTGTATTTTTCTTATGCAATAAATACATGTAATAAGACTATCAATTTATTTAAAAGAGACATGCTAGAAAAAACATTGATGCAAAAAGCATAAAAGTGCAAAATCATTAACATTTTAACTACTCAGAAGAAATCACTTTATAAATTCCTTTTCTACCATATTTTAATTTTGTTGAGATAATGCTGTTTAAACAACATTGCCTCCCTCTACACGCAAACATAATAAGAATAAAGAAACTTCTAAAATGGGCAGCAAGATGAGTAAAAATAATAATTTTGGATTTCTTGGAAATATAAAAGATCTTCCTTTCTATCATTTTTAAGTTAGGGGAAGATGGAGGGGATTGGGGTTTATAAACATATTGGACAAGACAATGTTAGTGATAAACACATATTTTTGTAGTTGGTACTTTGGAAGCTGGTTCAAAAACCCAGTGACATTCCACCATTACTGGTTTTCTGGGTTTTAGAAGTATTTTTTTTGGGGGGGGGTTGCAGAGTAACCCCAAATAGTTGAGTTGCCAAGGGTTCTAAACTTGCTAGTTCAGAGTTTCTTCAACTATACAGTATGGATATCGATATTTACTCATTTGGATACTGAGTAGGTATTGAAGGAGGCTAATCTGTAGTATCAAATAAATTCAAATGTGCAATGACTTAAACACCGGAGATGTTCAGTTCCTTTCCATGGTGTAGATCAGTGCAGCTATGTGCAAGTTCACAGATGCTTTCCGCCATATACCAGTAGAGGGATCCAGGTTCTTTCTTTCCTGTCATCTTACCAACATCTTGGATCTTGTAAATTGCCTCCATTGGTGGTGGGGAGGAGGAAGGGGCAAAAGCAGGCTGCCTAGAAGTGCCACATCTTATTCCCACTCATATTTCTATTATAACCCTATTAATATGGGAACTGAAAAATATTATTAGGCCATGCACCCAATACCGTCCTATTTCTACAGAAAGAAGAGAGATAAGTACTTTAATATCAGCAATTCCTGCTACTGTGTACATGTCTTGTAAAACACTTGACAAAATACAAAATCCACAGTAGGTGCTGAGTACTTTCCCTCCTTTTGCTTTTCCAGTATTTAAATATTTTTAGGGAGGATGAGAAAAACAAAAACAAAATATACTTTTATCAAATTAGATTCTGGAGGCCTAGCTATTTACTGAAAGGAAGTCAACCATGCCTTGTCACATTTGCCTTATGATTAGAATAAGTTCTACCATATGTCCTCTGTCTTCCTTGTCTGTATGTCCATCCCTGCCCACCGAGAGAATGTATTGCGGGCACATAGCTCAGAAAATCACTCAGTTGCCAAGAAGAGGCCCAAATGACCTCTCCTCCAATGCATGGAGGAAAACTAGACCAGACCATCATTAAAATGATTTCCAATGACAAAATTTCAAAGACAAATGAATTTATAAATGATTCCTCTAAATTAAAATTTTAATGAACTCTCTACCCTGATGTCTTGTGCAAAGTGGTTAACATGGGGGTTGGTTGGGGACCATCCCTATCTATGATATAAAACAATCTGAGATAGCTCCCCTCAGGCTTTAGAGTATTTGGGAAGTAGAAGTGCATATTGACTTCTTTGGGCTCACATAAAATGGAAACAGAAAACTGAAGACCACAAGTCTTCCAATTAAGTGAGAGTGCATATTGATCTTCTGCAAAGTTCAAGTGTGATGGATAATGAAATTCTGGAACAAAAAGCCTTCTGACATGTTAGAMTATTCCTGTGTGTCCAGTACACTGAAATGCACGTGGGTCCCATACTTTCGGGCTCTCTCCTGTCTCTGAGGTTTGTGTGTGCTCTTCCTTCTGGTCTGGTTGATGCTTATTTAACTTCCCCCTTTATTTCTGGATGTGCTTGTGCCTTGCCTCAGATTTTAATATCTTTCAATATCTTTAGAAGGACTTTCTCATCATCTCCTGAGGCATTCTGTCCTCTGGGCTCCTACAGGAACTTGTATTTACCTTTTGGGAGGGGTTCTTTCACATTGTATTACACATTTTTGTTTCCATAATATCTACACACAAGAATAATAAGAATAAAGAAACTTCTAAAATGGGCAGCAAGAAATATAAAATATGGAAATATAAAAGATGTTCCTTTCTATCCGTTTTAAGTTAGTCTCTCTCCCTCCACCTTGCACCACCCAGGATGGTCCTGTTAACTCAAAAAACAAATGTGGTATGAATGAATGATGCCCCTCAAAGTCTTGATCAGTGTCCTTTTATCTTTGTATACGGGATACACATATCTGCTCTGTGTCTGGTCCATAGAAATCATTTGAAGAAAAGAACGGAAGAAGAGAAGGAAGGGAAGAGAGAAAGAAAAAAGATATCAGTCATAGAGAGAGGACCTAGGGCTAGTTTGTGTCAGGATAGAGTTTTAAGAAAGAAATAGGACAAACCCCTCTAGGAATTCATTAGATGGAAGCTATGATGACTGGCAGATACAGCATTCAAAATGAGTTTTAAGCCATAAGAGCTACAGGATGAAAATTTGTTGTAAAAATAGCAAGACAATAAATGCAGAGACAGGGAAGGGAAGGGCATGTTGAGGTGATGGCATCTTCATTGAACACCGTTTCATTGATCTTTGACAGTTGAAAGTTGTAGCTATGTGAGACGTGACTCCAACTCTCTCTCTTCATCTCTCTGATGCTGTTCCAGGAACTGGCGGCTGGTCCCCAGCAGATTCCAATGCTCAACAGTGGCTGCAGATGGACTTGGGAAACAGAGTGGAGATTACAGCCGTGGCCACGCAGGGAAGATACGGAAGCTCTGACTGGGTGACAAGTTATAGCCTGATGTTCAGTGACACAGGACGCAACTGGAAACAGTACAAGCAAGAAGACAGCATCTGGGTAGGACACTGTTTTCTCTCCCCACGAATAAAACTGAGATGTGCCGGTGGTAACCAGTGGGTGCTTCTGTCATTTTCCTATACCCAGATTGTTGGTGGCTTAATAAGCGTCAAGAGCCGATTCAGAAATAATTTGGTCATGAATCAGCCTTGACTCCAGTGTGGCTGTGTCGTTCCTGGGGAAACTGGGTGTCTGCTGTGCAGTTTACTGTGTTCTTCCATTTCTGGTAACTTCAATAATCCTCTGTCTGATTCTCAGTTCCTTCTTCTGTAATAGAGAAATACACCCACAAAGTCTGATTGTTAATGAGAGGGTATTTGTTTACTATTTATCTATTGTTTGTTTATTATGTACCATAATCCCTTGTAACAGCCTAATTGACTCGGTTAAGTCAGTTGGCCAAAATTACCCAATTTGTGCACTTTGGCCAAAGATTCTTAATTCTTGTTTGACTTTAAATCTCAGTGATGAACACTCTGGATCTAAGATTTGAAATCCACTCGAAAGGGTTAGAAATATGAAATAAATTGCACACTTTAGAATTATACTGAATTATAAACAATCTTCAGCTTAGAGAAGGAGTGTTTGCTCCAAGTTGCAAAGCAGAACTTTCTTCCCATCTCCTCAGCCTCACACTCTTGACCTCAGTATTTTTATGAGGCTGTCAGCAGATTGTAAGTGGAAAGGAACAAGGAGAGGCACAAAGAAAACTTGCCTGACTTTGGAAACTCTTRCTCATGAATAAAACAGTGGGTTAGTCTATGCTGCTTTTAGTTTACTGGGGGGAAAAATCATCATTACTTTCTAAATCCATAAAAAATGTGAAGATTTAGCCATTGATAAAACAAACAACAAACAAACAAAAAACTCTTCCCTAATCAGAATCTTCCTCCTACTTGCCTCCCTGTGAAATCAATGACAACTAGAATTTTAAATTGCTGTCATTTTCATGTGCATGTTTCTGTATTAGCTCTACTTTTGGAAAAAAAAAATACTTTCTGTTTTGGATTCACTATTATTTGCCAATTGCCAGGCGTTCACCACTCCAGGTTCTAATTGAACATAGTAGTAAATTAACGATTAAGATTGATCATAGCAGAATCTTGAGAACATTACTATTGCCATTTTTTTATCGTTACTAGTATATGAAGTTGTAATATTCATAGAAGGCATGGGTTTTCTTCAGTCTTAAAAATAGTTTTTTGAAGATCCTTTTTTTCATTTCAGTGTTGAAGTCACCATAATCTTACAAATTTCTGTTTGATTTTGTTTTTAGTTTGAACTGAGAAATGAGCACACCTTCAATTTTGAGGAGCAATTTTAAGATTTTATGTTGACTTTAGAGGGACAAATAGATGTGGGGTTATTTATTTTCTCTGGCATTTTCAATCAGAACCGGTTGTTTTTCAGATGGAGCTGCAGTTTTTGAGTTATCTAGTCTCAATTTTTTTTTTAAACTCCAAGTTTCATTTTCTTCAGAACCAAATGACCTGCTTTCAGCCTACTCTGGATCACGATGTATTTCAAGGGATGACAATTTCTCTGGGCTTGGGGACAGCTGGCACAAGGTCTCTTACATGTCCATGCTCCTATTAGTTACTTGTGTTTCTAAGTAATTTCAACTCCTTAAAGACAGAAGTCTCTCTTTCATGTTTCTATACAGGCCCTGGGCCTGATTTTAGTGGACATATGTGGCTCATTTTAGCAAGGTTATTAGAACTGCAGAATGACTAAGACTCTTAGAATTGGAGACGGGGTAGAAGGAGGAGACTATCCCATCCTATACTTCATACCCCAAACAGCTTCAACATTGCTGAATAGGTAAAGGATGCCGGGCAACAGGGAAAGAGAGGTACAAGATCCTGTGTGCAGCAAGACAGAGAATTCCAGTTGCAGCATCCCCAGAGATGTTCACAATGCCTGCAGGGCACTTAGGAAACAGGCAGCTTTAGGACCACCTTGTCAGCTGCAAACACTAGGAGGAGTGGTGATTCCAGAAGAGGTTATCACAATTTCCAGTTTAAAGTATAAAATACAGTGACATTTGGCAGGAACACCATAAGTCATGGTATCTGCAAAAAAATGGGTGTCCACTTATACTAACACTAGGAAAACTAACAACCATTACATCAATGACATGTAACGTTTACACACTAATGTGTGTGTGTGTGTGTGTGTGTGTGTGTATGTGAATATGTGATTCTATAAACTCTGGTGATTTGCTCTTCATATCTCCAATGATAAGGGGCTTGTCATCACAGTGATCAATCCAAGCTCAAAAATGGCGGCACCATGATTCAAAACTAAGATTTATTCTTAAATATATCTGTAGTTTGTTTATTCTTTACCCCAATTGATTTTTTTAAATTTCATATATTCATGTATATAAATTTATGTATATATATACATATATATACATATTAATCTCTCTCACTTTAATTGTTACCCTTGTAAGCACTAATCTTTGAGATAATATTAAATATAACTGTTTAATTTACACAGTGCTGAATATAAAAATGAGAAAACAGGCTGGGGTAAGTAGCTCAGTGGTAAAGTGCTTGTCTAGTATGTGTGAGGCACTGGGTTTGACCCTAAGCACAACATTAATAAAATAAAATAAAAAATAAAATAAAGTTATTATATCCATCTACAACTAAAAATATTTTTTAAGTGAGAAAACACCATTAACAGATAACTGTGTTTGTGAATGTTGTCAATGTTGTCTAAAGTGTCTGAAACTGTTTAGCAGCATCTATTGAATCCAGATTGAGGATGTTTTACAAACGTTTCACAAATATATGTAAAATCTGCTTTGTGACTAATGCTCATTGATACTTGTTTCAGACSATGCTGTTGCATAAAAGAGATTACAGTTTTTCTTTTTACTTTTTGTTTTCAACTTAGAAGGCTATGGATTCACAAAAGCTTAGCCTTATAAGCAAAGTAAAAGCAACAGCCAAACAAGAGGTTTAGGTAAAGCTGTCTAAATGGTTTCAGTTTAACTTTTCAGAGAAAAAGCCAAGACTTGAAAACATCAATAACAAGTACAAACTTAATTAAGGAGAGTATACCAAGGAGATAATCTCTTGAACACATATTTTCACTTGGTCTTTTTCAGAGCCTCAAGTTTTCGATGTGAGTTTATAATGCTTTTTAAAAATGATTTATCAAATAATACAAATACAGCACATTTTGTAAATAGTACATCAATTTGCCAAACCTTGAAAATTTTATTTTATTTTACAAAGTTCATTTCAGGACAGGAATCTTTAAAAAAAATACTTTTCCTACATATAGTAACAAATCTTCATGCCCTGATAATTCAATTGGGAGAGTTTCTGATTTGGCACTAAATGAAATGTTTATGAATAAGACCAACAAGCAGTTGTTTAATGATGTACCATGATACATGAACAAGCCAGAGTTCCTGCCTCACTGAATAATCAGGCATCATGTGTCACATAAACAAACTTAGCAGATCAAAAATTTCTTCCTGTTTGGTGTGAAGATATTTTGAAGCAAGATAGATAATAAAATTCTAACTCCAAGAAGCAATGTAAATCTTTTGTTTGGTAATGTGGAAAATTTTATTTGGAATTAAGAGAACCTCTTAATTAAATCCTCCCAGACCACTTCCTGTCTCCATTCACCTTGAAATCTACATCACAAGAAACACGTACTGCTCTTGTTATACATATGTACACATATAGGTAACTTTTCCTTCCTGAGTTCTTTGTGTTTCAAGTGTCCAGACCCTTCATGAATCCCTGTAGGGGTCCTACATACAAAGAAGGGTATGTGAAAACTCCTTCCCCTCTCTGAGCATTGACACTTTATTTTTTAGCACTTATCAGTCTTAAATTTCGAACACTTATTTTATAATAGTCAAACTATTGAGATCCCCTTCTCAATCAAGTTTAGCATTCAGGTTTTTATTGAGGTATAATAAATATCATCATATTCACTTTTCCAGCCTCCTTAATATATGTATCAAAAAACTCACATAAAATGTCTCTATCCTACTTAGAGACTTCCATGTTATCTAAAAACTTACACTCTCTCTCTTTTTTTTTGTATATATACAAACTTAACACAAAATAGATATTGAAGGCAAATTTTGAGAAACCTGAACTTTCAAATTTCTCTTTTGCCCAATAATTTGCCTTTCTAAGTACAATCTCATAATATCAGTGGCAAAGTTAGTCCTGTATTTGTAAAACAATTTACTTTATTTGACTTGTGCAATTATAATCTGATAAACCCCTTTAAGTTACTGATTAGAAGCAAACATTTGATGCTGGTAGATTCCTCTGAATTGACAGTGAAGATATTAGCTGATTCTGTTTTACTGACGTATCCACTTCTGTCTTCCTAGTCTCCATTTAATTAGTCACTTTCAAGCAGTCTGTGCGGATGCAAGCCCATATTCTAATCTTCCCTATGTGATAACATGGAGAATCATGAGTGAGAGATGCAATGATCATAGTGACATGGGACACTGGGGAAGGAAAAGAAGTTAAAGAGTTGTGTCCATGCAAGGCTGGTACTTATATAGGAAATGATAGCATCTCAGAATTCAACATTTAAACATTCATAGTGAATTCTTTTGCTTCTTTTGAGTGTCTGTATCCTGGGATTCTGAATGTATTGCTACAGTTCCTCTTTATCTGACACTCAATAAAGGTAGGCACTCAGCTAAGATCATGAAGGAGATTAGTTAAGTTTCTTCTGTGGTCCTAATGAGTTGCTTTTATTTTACAGAAGAAGAAAATGAGGTTTCAAGAGGTCAAGATCTCAGCCCATGTCTCATAAGTAGTGAAGTGATGGGGCCAATTTACAACCCTAGCTCTGTCTGTCCATAAAGCCTAAGCAATTAAATTACTATATGATATTTCAGCCATTGTTGAAAACATGACAATTGTCAACCCATATTCTCTTATAAAGGAGATGGAACAACCTGAACTGAGATTCAGAACACATTCTGCTCCATCATAATCTAA